AAAAAAAAAAAAAAGTCAATCAAACAAGCTGGTAAGTATAAGTGGGGCTGATTAGATTTTAATTTAGTTCGTGGTGGAAATTGAGCACTTCGCATTAGTAGATGAGCCTGTTTGACACTTCTGCCATATATATATATATATATATATATATATATATATATATATATATATATATATATATATATATATATATATATATATATCAATTTTTATTACATTATTATTTTATATGAGTTATATGAGTTTGAACCTATCAGTATTCACATAAGAGAGCAACATAGTACCATTAGACTACAAGGTCCTTAGTACTTTATTTTTTATTTTTTTTTTTATTTGTTGCAAGCTTAATATACACAGATTAAATTAAAAAAAAAAAAAAAAAAAAAAAAAAAAAAAAAAAAAGAAGAAGAAAGGACCACAATATTTTTAATGTTTTTTTTTCTTCTAATAAAATAAAACATACGTTGAAATTAGTATACTCTCAAAAAGTATCCTCAGAATCTAAATACATCCATTTGTTATAAATTTTCTTATAAATATGTACAAGAGAAATTAAAATTTTGGTCTTATAATTATTGGATTCTTGTTAATTTCAATCTACGACTTTAAAAATTAATAATTTAATATCATAATTATGTAATTTTTAACAGATTTAACCCATCTGATCAAATTATCGGTCAATTGTAGCCGAAATCTTTTAATCCATTTTTATTTGTTTAATTCGGGGGTGGCAATACGGTCATTCTTGGTGAATAAAGGGGAAAGTTGAGAACGCTGAAAAATTTCTCGTCGGCGGTACAGAGCTTCTCTGCATATGTTTTCCCTGTTCATCTTCCCCATCTCCGTTCGTCTTCCCCATAATATTGCTAATTTCATAATAATGACTAATGAGTGAAGATAAAGAAAAATCAATTATTGTGAATAAATAGTTGCTGCCAAAGAATTTGTTTGTTGCTGCTAGAATTAATCCTCTGCTGCTGAGTTGGATTTAATTTGCCACCCAAACAAAGCTACTGCCTAAAACAATTTGCTGAACCTTCGCGGAACGGGAAACCTGCCACCGTCGCTGGAATTGAAGTTGCCGGGAAATTTTGAACTTGCCCAGAAACTTCCTGCCAGAGAGGACTCGAGGCTGCCATCTGGAAATCCTCCACTGCCACCGCCGGAAATTAATCTATGTAGATTGGAATTTGAACGGAATACACACTGTCGTCGATGAGAATTTTGATGCCGACAAGGAAGCTCTGTACCGCCGACGAGGAATTCTATGGATTTAGATAGCAGCTTCAACTTGGAGCGCAGATACCATCTCCGGCGTACTCCCCCCCACCCCCCCCCCCCCCCCCCTTTTTTTTTTTTTTAAGAAAAACCTGGAATGATCAATTTGCCCCCGAATTAAACAAATTAAAATGGATTAAAAGATTCCGGTGATAATTGGTCGGTAATTTGGCCAGATAGATCAAATCTGTTAAAAATGACATAGTTAAAAGTATTAAATTATTAATTTTTAAAGTTATGGATTAAAATTAACAAGACCTCAATAATTATAGAACAAAAAATGTAATTTTCTCATAAGTACCACTAAGAAGTATTATTATAAGAGAATAAATAGGGGAGAGAAAAGGAAAAAATCAAATAAAAATAGCTACATTTTGGAATATAGCTTAATTTCATTTTTTTGAATAATACTATAGCTTAATTTCATTTTAATTCTGTATTACTTTAATTAATGTATTTCCATTTGCCAATAATCTCTAACTTAACTAGTTAAAATCTCTGTAATACTGAAATAGGAAAAACAGGCCGGAAATAATAATTTTAAAAAATGTATAGTAGGAATGTAGGAAATGTAATACCGAAAAATGTGTGTATGACATATATAGCAGAGTTGAGTGGCCGGGCATTAACGTGCGGTTAGTGTGACCGTACTAAAGTTATGCAAATATTCACCAACAATGTTAGGAAATGTACAACACAAATATGCATTATTAAGTACGCATCACCCAAAAACGCATCATTAGATATGCATAAAAGCACCACACAGTGTTCGGAAATGCACAATTAAGTGTGGGGAGTTATGGTGCATTATATTGGGTGTGTTGTGCATTTTTTGGTGTATTACTTTGTGCATTTTCCTAACAATATTAGTGTCTTTTGTTAACACGTATTATTATTGGTGCATTTTTCAAACGGCCGCAACGACTGCACGGGAAGGCGCGGTCGCATTTGAGCTAACTTATATATATATATATATATATATATATATATATATATATATATATATATATATATATATATATATATATATATATATATATAGTTTTATGATTAAAAATACTATATTAATAAATAAAACTAATGCATTAATCTCTTTTAAAAGAAAAATATATGGTACGAATCAAGCAGCCGCAATTGTAATATTCAATTGTAATATATGCATAAATAGGTCTTAGGAGTTGGAGACTAAAGTGATGAACATCGTCTGCAAAATAGGTTTCAAGAGTAAAAGACAAAGTTTAGGTCTTAATTTTGATTTTTTAAAGATTTTGATCCAATAAAATTTTTTCAATTTGGATTTAAAACACTTTTGAAATTTTTTAAATTAATTATAAAATTATACCAAAATTTTAAAAACTTCTATTTTATTAGGAAATTACATAAAAAATGTCTCGGAATGAGTTTCCAGAAGTTTTGAAATGTTTTATAAAGTGAGAGAATATTACTCTTTAAAAATTTTCATGCATCATAGATTAGAGTGTGATACTCAAATTCAACAAGTATCCAAATATTCTTTTTTTTTTTTTTTTTTTGAGAGCCCAAATATTCTAATTTTATTTTGTACAATTATGAATGCTGTATTGTTACTTCTACACATTTTAAGGTAATTATAAGATGAAGACTAGAAAACCTAGAATTTCTATAACTATCAAAAAGTCATTGAAAACTTAAGATTTACAATTTAAAATTGAGTTTTCAATTACTTATGGAATTCGAAAAATTCTTGTCAATATTATTGACCAGTACTTGAAGTGATCAATAGCAACAAGCACCAAGCACCAAGCACCAAACACCAACATAGATTTTTAGAATATTTGAACAATTAGATCATGATCAATAGCACCAAGCACCAAGCACCAACATAGATTTTTAGAATATTTGAACAATTAGATCACTACACCGTTTTGAAAAAAAAAAAATCACTATGCAAGTAACTAGATATTCATCCACATACGGTCGAGAATTAAAAAGAAAAGAAAAAAAATTTAACCATTTTTCAATAATCATTGAGAAAGTGTTTCTAGCCGAAATCTTGGTTTCTTATCATAGGTTTTTGTTGGATGGTAGAAATTAAACTATGTCCGGAGTAATTAAAAAAAAAACTTTTTGTTTCCTTTTTCTCCTCCAATCATCTTTTTTTTTTTCATTTTTTTTCTCTCACTATATATAAAAAGAAGTAAACAATTTAAAAATAAAATCAAAATTTTGTTCACTAAAATAAAAAAATTTTCAAATTTTAAATTAGTTGTTGCCAAAAGTTTTTTGACCACCAAAATGTACACATACATAATAATCTAAGCTTTGTACTAAGGCAATGAATTTCTCTTGACCACCATTAAGTTAAAAAGATGTGAAAATTTTATCCACATCATGATGTTTGCAAATAGGTACATGATTTTCTAAAAAAGTTTTACTTTTTGACAAAATATACGAGTATTGATTGATTATATCCTATTAAAAGATAAAAGTAATTAAGTTATTAAAGTATTTAATTTACCATTGCTACTGTTAAGGACTTAACTCCAAATTATATATAATTACATCTATGGGTGTAAATGAGTCAATTTGAATATGAATAGTCAAAACTCAAAACTCCGCACACAGGATTCAAAAAAGTAGAAACTTAAACTTGTCTGAGGTTTCTTTTTTGAGATATAGCTCTAGCTCAACTCAAATACACTCGCTATAGTGTTTTTATTTTATTTCTCATATAATAATAATAATAGTTATTATTATTATTATTATTATTATTATTATTATTATTATTATTATTATTATTATTATTATTATTATTATTATTATTATTATTATTATTATTATTATTATTATTATTTCATTCAAATATCATAACAAACTCAGTATTACATTTTGATTGTAGCTATTTTATAAGATATAAAAATATAAATATAAATATATTAGTTAAATTTATAATTATATAATTATATATATGAAGTATGGGATGCACTCAGGTGCGAATAAGTGCCCAGGAAAGAAATGCGAACGAATCAGCGCGTGACACGTGTCCAGATCTAATAACTTAAAAAAAATGCGGTGGCATTTTCGTAAATAATTGAACATCGAAGTGCAAGTAAAATCTCTTATAAGTGCACCTATTTTCACCTATTAGTGCATGTAATTTTGCCTTGTTAGCATTCACTTTCCGCAACCATTCATGCACCTGGGTGTGCTTATAACTATATGTGCAACTATTTATAACTATATGTGCACCTACTTTCACCTATAAGTGCATGTAATTTTGTCTTGTTAACATTCATTGATCTGAGTTCAGCGGGTAGTAATACTCCTGAAAACCACTCGCAAACATTCATACACCTAGATGCAACTACTTATACCTATGTGTGCAACTACTTAGAACTATATGTGCAACTACTTAGAACTATAAGTGCAACTAAGTATTGATGCTCAGTGTAAATTTTTACTTGCACCTATAATACATTTTACATGCACTTGTAATACATTTTACTTGCACTTCGATGTTCAATTATTTACGAAAATGCCACCGCATTTTTAAAAAAAATCAGTGTTTCTCATCCATTAGATCTGGACACGTGGACGAACAGAATCCATTCCTATTTCGCGCCTGGGCGAGCCGTTCGCACCCGAGTGCAACTCTATAATATATATATTAAACTCGATTAAGCACATAACTTGCTCGAGCCGATTATTAAGAAGTTCAAATCTCAACTTGTTATTTAACCAACTCAACTTAATAATAGTCCAATCAAACTTAAATATTTATAAAATCGAACTGGAGTAGCTTGGCTCATTTCTAGCCATAATGGATGTGCATCAACAATATAGTATATGTGAAATATTAAATATAGAAATTCACATATAATAAAAATTTGTTTGTTTAATAGTTGTATGATGGTTGTAGATCAGATTTGTTGAAGAGCGTTCTACTTATCCACCTTCCACCACACTGCAACCCACCAAGTCTAACTCTCTCTCGCTCTATATATATGTATATATATCCATAATCCATCCAAAAACATCATATCGTACATTCCTTGGTTCATGATGGCTCTGGTCACCATTAATAACAAAGCCGACGAACAGAAAGAAAGTTGGAGCAGAAAGAGAGTAATATATCTTTTTGAGGATGAAGAAGATGATGAAGACGAGCTTTTTGAGATCGATCTAGCGGTGGTGGATAGCTTGCCGCTGCCGCGATACTGTTGGGACGACGACTACAGCCGTTTCACCGCCGCAACCAGTAGTGCGCTTCTGGCCAACTGCTTGTTGCCCATTTCTCAGCTCTCCTGCGCCGTTCCCATGGCCGCCAAAGCTGGCGATGCTCTTTTGCTTCAGCCCTCCACGCCGGTGCCGGTGGCTGTCTCCGGGTTACAACATCACATTCACATAGAAGAATATAAGGAAGGTTAAAGATGCTTTTGTTTATTTAATTTTGTGTGCAGTATATTACAGTAGAAGAAAAGCAATAAATTACTTAAATAACTAAAATTGACCCGGCCAATAACTATGGCGAATAGGTGAAGGGGAATTTTTGAACGGGACAGTATCGAAGTATGGCGTGGAGCAGGGGGTTGCGGAAGCTATTCATCGAAACCGGTAGATTATCAGCTGTTTCCCGGGAGATGTAAAAAGAGCAACTCCACTGGCTCCGGCTATGGGAAGGACGCTTTCGTCTTTCTAACTTTGTCATTCAGAGAAAGAGTACAGTGGATAACAACACCGTACCGGCGGGAAATAAAAACCAATCTAAATCTTCAATTCGCCGCCGAAGCTATCGCTTTAGTTTGGCTTTGATTTAATCTTTCTTCGATTCTTCAATCTTCATTCATTGGATTCTTCAATTTCTTCCTTAGCTAGATTCTTCTTCGCATTTGGCCGTTGCTTCGTATTGGGGATTTTTGAATCAATCAACATGAATAATATATGCAGGTGATAAAACTTAAAAGGGAGGTAATGCAAAAAGACAAAAATGCCCTACTCAAATAAAGTAAACAAACAGCTTAATGACGGTACAGTACCGGGATAATTTAATTCACCAAATTTTAAATAATTCCAGGATCAAATTCATTCAAATTGAAAATAACTAGTAATTACATTGACAGTTACGAAACAATTGAGAAATCAAAAACAGTGATTTTCCCTAAAAATTAAATTTTGAACGAAAACCAAGACTATATGGTCTAATGGTATCCGGATTGGACTTTCATTTAGAAGGTTGTGAGCTCGAGCATCAGTGGAGGCGTTGGAGGCGTTATTGGTTCTTTGTGTTTGGAGGCGTTGGAGGCGTTATTGGTTCTTTGTGTTTCAGTAAGTTGAGAAAATATATGAACACGGTTCTTTGTGTTTCAGTAGGCTGAGAAAATATATGAACACGGTTCTTTGTGTTTCAGTAGGCTGAGAAAGTATATGAACACATACTACATTATAATCGAGAAGAAGGATACAAATTATTGTTATGTGAGGCAAAAAGTTAAGGCATGCAAGAACAATTTTAGTTATATTTATAATATATAGGTTTCTATTATCGTGTATTTGTTGACTTTTATGCATGTAATTACTATATTCTGTTGATAATTAAACATATTTGATTTAATTCTGATCGATTGGTTGAACTTAATTAATTAATGGTGCTCACAAAGATATATCCAGACTAAATCCAACTTCGTATGTAAGAATTGATTGAAAAACAAGAGAATGATAAATAATAAAACTATTTATTGAAAACTGTTGTAAATATTAATATGGACATTATTATATATATAGTAGTAGTTGTAATTAATAGGTGACTACCTTTTATATGTATTGATATTACCTTATATTGGGTGATACCTTTGTATAAGAATTCTAACGATGAATGAGAATTCGAACCTTCCCTCTCATCTCTTTGTCTATTATTCTTACAACACGTTATCAGCAGTGATGCTCTATCCAACGATTATCGATAGGAGACGTTACCGAGATATTCGGTGAAAAGCGGTCGGTCGGCACCGTTCCAATCGAAAAGCTTCGCGCGAGGCCGGCTTCACCACTCCAGCCCATTCCCCGACGAGAGGTCACCGAACCGCCTCGACCTCTCCGCCCTAGGATCAGTCGGCGATCCAAGGCCTCAGCAGTCGCGCCGATTGAACTTTGCGGCCATCACCGATCGAAAATCCAGAGACCTGCCGCGGTGGAGACGTCTCGCGATCCAGCCGTTTGATCAACGATCAGACCAGCGGAAGCTGATCGCGGTGATGAGACGAGCCCAGGGCCATCGTCCACTCCCTAATCCGACGATCGGATCACCTTTGATGGCACCATTAACGAAGGGGTTTGATGAAGGCCAAGGAGGGTCTTGGCAATGGATTGCCGGCCTTCACGCACGCAAGTGCCCCCGGGGAGAGATCATAGTCGCCGCGACCCAATCTCTCCAGAAGACGCCGGAAGTTCTGGAGGGGGCCCGGTGGTTACCACCCATCGATGTGGCCGCCTCGCCGAGGGGGAGACAACCAACGATCGGAATCGCCGGTGGAGTGCTCGCCGGCGTCGAAAATTGGAGCTTGTGTTCAATCATCGGTGAACGGTATTTCGAGTAAATTCTTAATTATTATTGAAGTATATAGCTCTGTCAATATTTGCATTTATGTAAACATATGGTATATGAGGTGTAAATTAATTGCCCAGGTGGTGCTTAATAGTTCACTTTCATACTCATTGTTCTATGAAAACATACACACACCCCAGGCAGACGTTTGGCTTTTAACCTGAAATTTTACTAATGAAATTTCATAAAGCCTTGTCCACCTAAAGAGTAGATGCATCTCATGACAGTAGCTATTTATCAATGATATATGCATTTTAATATTTGTTGCCTAGTTAAATTTGTAGCACCTGTGTGTGCCAGTTTTGCATGAATTTGAGGTATAATCTGGACATTTGATATGCCATGAAAAGTTAAAGTGTATATGATAGTGAGGTTTTTAATGAGGCATGTGTATGATATAGTGTAAATGGGGAAAAGTTGCAAAATAATTGCTTAAGTAGATAAACCCCAAAATCCTGAAAATTATGTCGATTGTGCCCTGAAGGTTTTGGTTGTACTCTTTTTCCCTTAACTAAGTTTTTCCCACAGGGTTTTCTTAAATTAAGGTTTTTAATGAGGCAATCAGTACAATATATGTTCTTACAAATATCATGTACTTTTTTCTTCAACTAGGTTTTTCCCACGAGGTTTTCCTAGTGAAGTTTTTAACGAGACATGAATATATATACATTTATACTATTTTGTCTAGGTTTTTCCCACAGGGTTTTCCTAGCAAATTTTTACAAGGCAGGATCATGTCAAATAATGTCCAAGGGGGAGTGTTGTAAATATTAATATGGACATAATTATATATATAGTAGTAGTTGTAATTAATAGGTGACTACCTTTTATATGTATTGATATTACCTTATATTGGGTGATACCTTTGTATAAGAATTCTAACGATGAATGAGAATTCGAACCTTCCCTCTCATCTCTTTGTCTATTATTCTTACAACAAAAACAAGCTAATCGATCTTGCGAGATTAGGTCAATTGATTTGGTCGATGAATCTAAAGCCTTATTCCAACAGTAAACGGACTATATACAAACACTCCTATGTTTTTTTTAAGGGATATTATTTGGTAAATATGAAAATAATTATTACCATATCATTTATGTTTATAACGAAAAAAAATAAAGTAATTCAAATATGTGAGCCAATAATTTTGTAATAAAATTAATTAAATGACCAATAAATATGAAATGATTAATTAGATTGTTATAATATTACTTTTAATATACACTTCTTAAATAGTTTTAAAATGAAAATAACGGTGTTATAACAGAATTGGAGTAATTGTGTCCAATTCTGTCCCGATAAAATATTATGTACATATGAAATCGACTAATTGGGTATAACAGAATTGGATAATTGTGTCCCGATACAATATGATTTAAACCGAAAAACACTCATAACAAATCTCTATCCCTCTAATTCAATTTTTAATCACTCTAATCGACTAATCAGAGTACATTCAAATGATTTTTGAAGAGTGCTTGCATGCAACTGTTTCACTATTCCAAACATTTTCCTAAATATAATACACCTTTCGTAATATAATTTAGATCCCACAGTGAGATCTGATGGATACCCGGGGTGTGGTACTCGGTCAGTTATGTTCCCAGGCAGACAGGTGTATGTGGTTTAGAAACTTAACAACATAAGGAAGAAAGACCTCAGTACCCTAACCCTCATATGATCCCTGTCTAGCCACCGAGTGATCCAGTTGGGCGAACAGGCTTCAACCTGCCTGAGCATCCGAGTTATAACGGATTCGGCGACCCGCGTGACCACGTGATTAGCTTCCAGGCTAAAATGTAGGTGGCCGGGGCTGTGGACCCGATGATTTGTAGAGTCTTCTTCCCCACCCTGGTTGGCCCAACGTAACGGTGGTTCCTAACTTTAGCCCCGGGGTCGATTGTAAACTTTGAAGACTTGGCCGACCAGTTTTTGGCACATTTCTCTGGCAGTATGAAACCCAAGAAGTACTTCTCGGATCTAGCCCAAGTGCATCAAGACAAAGGAGAAAGCCTGCGCAAGTACATAGCGTGTTGGGAGAAGGAAACTCAGGCAGTCAAGGGCTTAGATGATAATACTGCTTTAACCCTCTTCATCGAATCTTTACATGCTGACGACCATTACAACAAGTTGCGTGATGAGAACCCCAAGGCCTATGCCCAAGCCATCTAGAGGGCCAACCAGCTCGCTGATACTGAGGAGGCAGTTATAATTCTTATTGTAATTATAATTAAAAGGGATTTGATCCAATTATAATTCCCTTAATTAAACTAGGTGGTCCACGATGAATTATGAACCCTTACCTGAACAAGGAACCTTAAACCCATAGGGAATAGGGAAAGCGGGTCTTATTACTCAGACCTTGAATAGGTTTCCCTTAGACATATAAATAGGAGATTAGGAAGCAGATAGAACCCTTACTCTCCCCTCCCTCACACAAAATCACTCACAGGAACCCCAGCCGAGGAAATCCCCCACCAGCTAGCCTAGGAAGATCAATTGGAAGAAAAATCTTAGAGAAGAACCTTAGTAGCCAGGAATATTGGTTAGGGCTAAGAGGTAACCCATGTCTCGACAAAACCTATTTTCCTTGCTATATCTTATTCATTGGCTCCTTTGATATATGATTATGTGTTTGAGTCTTGATAGAGCTTTGCCTAGGGTTTATATTGTGTTTATGTGATAATCTTGATGTTTATGTGATAATCTTGATGTTCTTGATACTATGATTGGTTATGTGAATGATCTTGTGTATTGATTATGTCTAGAGTCCTAGGGTTTATATCGTGAATTTCGTATTATGATATTCTTGGTGAATTTGGGTGGGATTATGCATGATCGGGTGTTGAGTCTAGCCTAGGACTTGTGTTTAAGACTTTGCATATATATTTCTTTATGTTCTTGTGGTTCCGGATGTTCCTGAATCGTTATATGATTTATGTTGGGTCTTGGTATGTTTAGGAATCATGTTTTAGGATGTATTTGGTGTGATTCTTGGTTTAATTCCGTTAATTGAATACGTGGTGTTGTCGTTATATGTTTGAATGTGTTTGGGCATGATTTCGGGTTCCACGAGAGATCTCGGGACCGAAAGTCGCATGTGTATCAGTGGGGGGTAGGTGGGGGGACTGACCACCCGCCA